GCTGAACTGGATTTTCTTCAAGTTAAAATATCTATCTTTACCTAAATACCGTCAGTAAGTTTCATTGGGAAAAATTAACAAAATAAGAGAAAATGAAATACAAAATCAATTAAAATGAAATATTAAAAATTATCAAATATTTTCCATATCAATAAACTGACATCCTCATAAGATTGATGAACTTGATCATTTAATATAGAAACATCTATTGTATTTAGCTCTGATTCCCTGAGACATCACACTGAAATTATGTGAAGAGAGCTCTGCCAGCACTTCTTTGAGGAAATTCTTCTTCCTTAACCCACCACTCACCTGAACCTTGAGATTTCACTGTTAATGATGCTGATGACAGACACTCACCCAGCTAGGTCTCTGCAGTGAGTTCATGTAGGTAAGATGTGACGCCATGGTGTAATTATAAAAAAGCAATGACATTAGTTAACCTCCCTCCAGGCCCATAATTTTTATGTCAACTATAGATGAACAAGCCCAGACCTTGTGATGATAGGAAAGGGAGCAACCAAAGGGAACACTGATTCACTTAATTCCTAGGGAACAGAAGAGGAACAGCTGGGTTCCAAACTTTTCCAAGCATGAGCTCATTTTCCCAGGTAACTTTGGCCCAGTGGGTTGAATGGCTTAGTACTTGTTAAGAGAACAACTATATCCCAATAGCCCAACCTTAGAGTAGAATACTCTATGAAGTTTACTAATGTATCTCCCTACGGGTTCGAGGAATCCATTCTGGCCTCACAGCTGTTCCCCAGTGACTCTACTTTTCCAGGTCAGAACTAGACCATAGGCACCTCCATGGGAAGAAGGTAAACACCAGCTCTACCAGACCCTGTATACAAAGTGTCCTGTCCTCAGGGACACACAGCTCTGAGCCATAGTCCTAGAGCTAGGAAGCAGAATACAGAGTGATTCTTACACCTCCTCCCATATATTTTATCAGATGCATGTTTGGGGGACAGGAAGGACACCTCTCTCCCAGGGGCACTGAGGGCTGGCTATGAGCTGTCAGTAATGACAGCTTGCTTTGCTGTGACATATCAGGCTCCTGTGGGGCTGTGTTGTGCCTCCCCCATTCCTCAGTCCCGTGTGTTGCTTCTTTTCACCAGACTGTTATTTCATACAGCATTAGAGAACGAGTCCAATCAATGGCCGGCGGTGTTTCTCTGACTTCACATCTTTATTCTAACTGAACTTCATCTTGACCTTGTGCTTAACTTGGGCTGCAACATTAGAATTCCGTTTTCATAGTCAATTTAAAGTGTTCAGCTTTATTCATGTAAACCTCTGAGTCTCACATAGGCCACAGCTCCCAGCCTATTTGAGTTCCACAAGGCAAATTTCTCACATGTCATTCTGATCCTCTAATAAACATGTCACTTATTATTTTTGGCCACGGGCACCTGCCCCACAGATACACACAGTACACAACTGCGCTTCGTCCTGCAGCCTCTAACCAAGTTCCTTCTATTATTATTTTGTCACCATGACCATGTTGCTCATTTCAAACACACTTTTGGGGATATATCTGTGTGCGTTTCTTAGATTTTGTATTTTTGTTTTCTGAGGTCTTTTAACTCCTTTTATTTTTTTCTTCTGTTTTTATTTTTAGTTTTTTTTTCCCCATAAGGCACATTTGCTCACCAGAGACAGAAGGACAGAAAAGAAAAGTAAGAAATCATCCTCCAGGGGACAGCTACACCATAATCCTTTCTACTCCATTCTCCCTTTGGAGTTTGGACATGCACACATGTGCTCGGCATGAGTTTTAAGCCAGCAGGTCTGGTACTCAAATTAGGTCAACCGTGTAGGAGTCCAGTGCCTTAACCACCACACTATCTGCTTGCCCCTAGTTCTTTTTTTTAAGTCCCCAAATATAAAACACTGCCAGCCAAGATCTTACATCTTGCAAATTATTCTCACAAGTAAAAAAATCACGGGAACCAGCAGTTAGCGTAACGTCTATGTCGCTGGACTCCCACGTAGTCGACCGCGGTTCACGTCCCGGACCCGGTGGCTTAAAACTCATGCCGGGTGCGTGTGCATGCGTGCCCAAGATTCTGAGCGGAGAATGGAGGAGAAGGGATTGTGACGTGACCGTCCCCCCTGGGGGGTGATTTCTCGCTTTCTATCTCTGTGCCTCTCTCTGTCTGTCTGGTGAGCACACACGCCCTGTAGCGAAAACCTGTCCAAATAAATAAATAAATAAAAATAAGGCATTGTAGATGAACAAAAATTTAGGAAAATTCATGCAAGTCTCACCTTAAAAAAGAAATACAGCTCTAAAAACAAGTAACCTAAGATGGTCACTTGGATGCACAGACCAAGACATAGGACACCACTGGAAGTGATTTTATAATTACATAAGACAGTATGAATGTATATTTATTATCTTGCATATCCTTCAAAAGATTTTTTTATTTGTTTTCTTCTTAGAGAGATTTCTTGCTATATGGTATGTGTGCTCAACAGAATGAAAGAGAGAAACAGAAAGCAAGAAGTCACCCCTCTGAGAACACAGCCACACTGTAATCCCTTCTCCTCCTTTCTTCTCTTGGATACTGGCCATGCATGCACACCCACTGGCTGTGAGTTTTAGGCCGATGTGTCTGGGACTTCAACCGTGGTCAACCATGTGGGAGTCCAACAGCGTAAACATTATGCCATCTGTTTGTCCATATCTTGCTTATCTTAACTGATTTTTAGAAGCTTAAAATATGTAGAACCAGCAGTTAGCGTAATGGCTATGTCGCTGGACTCCCACGTAGTCGACTGCGGTTTGTGTCCCGGACCTGGTGGCTTGAAACTCACGCCGGGCGCGTGTGCGTGCATGCCCAAGATCCCAAGAGGAGAATGGAGGAGAAGGGATTGCGGCGTGACCATCCCCCCTGGGGGGTGATTTCTCACTTTCTGTCTCTATGTCTCTCTCTGTCTGTCTGGCGAGCGCACGCGCCCTACAGTGAAAATCTCTCCAAAAAAAAAAAAATGTATATAATTTCTGAGGACTTATAAGTATTAAAAAAATCATGTATTTTTAGCAATTACAGAGGTGGCTGGAGGAAGGCTGTATTAGGAACAGAAAATGGACCCAAATAACAGGTTGAATCTCCAGGAACAGTAGAAGGAAATAAGAAATGAGAAATGAAGTCACATCCAGGAGAGAGCATAGGGAGCACCAGGTGGACTGGGTAACCCAGGAATGGGCCACACCTCTGTCTTGCAGGGATTTGGAGCCCTCCCCTCACTGCCCACAGAGTGGCTTTAAGTAACAGGAATCTCTCCCCTTATCTGTCTCTGAGCCAGGACACTGCTGGCTGCTGGTTGTCCAGGCAGCACCTTGGACCCTCTCTTCCATCTGACCTTTATATCAGAAGAGGTAATATAGAGGTGCACAAAATTTGGCCAGGATGAAGTGACTTTTGTCCTTGGGAAGAATAGTGACCAATTAGAGAAGGTATATGAATATAATATGAAAGAGCTGCTCCATATTTTCTTCTAACTTTTTAAAGGAAGATTTTACTACATTTATGTCTAATAGATGTAATGATGTAGCTAATAAAACCACAAGTCTTATTAATGTTGATTTGTTTTTAAAAAGCTGGAGACCCTGCAATCCCAGATGTAGAAGGACCAACAGGCAGGTCCAAGTCCAGCCACTCAGCTAGAACTCATGATCTGATCAGGGATCACTGCCCAACCTGCTGTCAAGGAGGAGGGCTCTCTGGCCATGAAGAACCAACATCTGGCTCTTGGAATCCCAGGGAGAAAAGGAGCAACAGGGAGACCCTGCAAGCCCAGAGACAGAAGGTAGGAGCCACTGCTCCTCACCCATCCAGGACCAACAGGCAGGCCCAAGCTAAGCCACTTGGCTTGAGCTCATCAGCAGGGACCTGCCTCCTGTCCCTCCCCCACTGTCAGCCTGCTGTGGCAGAAGAGGGCTCTCTAGCCTGTGTGGAGCCCCTGCACACTCTACCAAGTAATCTTCCACCCTACTTTCTGTCAGTGCAACCTCCATCCACATTGGAAACAGTTAGATTTGAGTATACAAGAATCAAACATTGGGACATAGGAGGCTCTGGAGGAATTTTTTTCTCCATAACTCCCTTTGAGCAAAACTCTCTTCTGCTAGCCTGAACCCTAAACTACTACTGTGCACTCCACATTCCCACACACAATAGAGGAAGGAAATTGGCACAGATCTTATACATATCAGAGAGAAGTACAGGAGCACAGAGTTACAGAAACAAGAAGGCAGGAAGAAGTGAGTATGCCACCCAATGACTAAAAATCAAAACAGAACCCCCAAATAGGAGAAAATCAGAAAATCGCTCCTCATCAATGGATTATCACTACTCAGCCATAATGGTTAAAATAGAAGAAATCTGGATGTGGTGGTGACCACTCTATGGCAAAATAGAAGAAATCACAGAAACATCAGAAAAGGGTTCAGAATATTTATTGTAACAATTCTCAACAAGCTGCAAGAAAAAAACAAAGAACCGATTGCAGGAGGTGAGATCATCCTTCCATAACATAAAGGAGGAGATCCATAAAGAGATAGACAAACTGAAAAATTATCAAACAGAACTTCTGGAGATAAAAAGTTCATTGCAGAGAATAGGAACCACCCTCAAAAGTTTCAACCACAGATTAGACCAGGCAGAAGGATCTCTGACCTTGAAGACAAAACCTCCATTTTAGTTAAAGCAACTGAACTAATAGAAGAATAACCATTAAAAATGAGGACAATACGTGGAAAATCCGAGACACCAAGAAATGGCCAAATATCTGTATAATAGGAATTCCAGAAGTTGAAGAGACAGGTAAAATCATAGGAAATATCTTTCATAATGTAATAGTTAAAACACTTTCCAAATTTAGAGAGGCATACTGATAACCCTATCTAGGAAATACAGAGGACACCAAATAGACATAACATAAAAAGATCCTCCCCAAGGCGTATCATAGCCAAAATGGTAAAAGATCAAAAACAAAGATAAAATTCTAAATTTGGAACTAATGCCATTACTTACAAAGGTTATTCCATTAGAGTAACAGTGAATCTCCAAGTTGACTCAATGAGGGCAAGAAAAGAATGAGAAGACATTTTTTAAACTCTGTAAGAAAACTAATTTCAGCAAAGAGTGCTATAAGTAGAAAGATCATCATTTAAGTGGGAAGGAGAAATAAAATCATTCCCAGATAAACAAGTGCTGAAATAATTCATCAAAACAAAATTGGCTCTTCAAGAAATACTTAAGGGACTACTCTACCAGTTAAGTTAAGAGAGACAAATAGAAGTAAGAGAATACAAAACAATTAGAAAAAAGAATAAGTCTACACATATTGATAATAACATGGAATGTGGGGAATATATGCACATTCAATAATTTTAC